CTGGCAACCCAGGTGGGATGATATTATTTAATGGATGGAGATGCAAACGAAATGAATAAATTTTTGAACAAAGGCCAGTGTGCACCCATTCATGTAGAAGATAGAAAGAGAAAAGAGGGTGAGAATACAGATGAGCACTAAATGACAGGAGTCTTCAGACAGCAACACTGGGGGAGACGAGTGGGTGACAGACAGAACAAATCCTCAGTGGACCATGGTGGGGAGACAGGCAGAGAGGAGGGCGAGCAACAATAGGTCAGATTATGACTTAAGTACAGCGGACCCATTCCTCAAAGAGGAGATTAGAAAAGAGGAGACAGTGGAGCATATTGAACTAGACCGCCTACACAGAGCTCTGCCGTCTGATCCCAGGAGATGCAGGGGAGACAAGGGGTACTGTGCAACCAAAAAGACAGCGATGTTTTCACAGGTCAGCAAGGAGAGAAATTGTTCTGACTAAAAAACAGAAAGGTGGAACAAGTGAACACACTAATAATCACAAACCATATAGTTTTAACATTAGCATGCTGTATTGACAAGCACATTTGTTTTTTTACATCCATTATCTATAAAGCTTATTCCCGAATAGGGTCACAGGGGGCTGGAGCCAGTCCCAGCTGGCACTGGATGAGAGGTGGGGTCCACCCTGGACAGGTCACTAGTGGATCACAGAGCTGACACTTAGAGAAGGACAACCACACACACACACACACACACTCCTACAGGCACTAAAAAAACTTACACATCAACACTCTAGCCATTATATCATAGTCAAACATTACAAACAGGAAGTGGAAAAATAGCCCAGTCTAATTTCTTGGTTAATAATGAAATGAGCCATTTTATAATTATGTTAATTACAGTGGGTACTGTAGACTAGACCATAGATTAGATTAATATCTGGGGAGGTTTAGCAGTGCATTCCTCTGCTTTTGCCCTTTTTGGACAACCTTTAAACAATCAAGTTGCTCCACTCCACTCAACTGCATAACAATAACACTATCAATCTGAAATTAATTATTCACTCAGTTTTAAAAGTTAATTTAAAAAAAGCAGAATAATATTTCACAACAAGTTCTGTTTTATCACAGTACAGTTGCACTAAAAGGTAACTGCTTAACCCTCAAAGAATAGCACATAAAAAACAACATGTAAACAATCAGAAAACACAGCTGGAGGCAGCACGGAACTGAAGGGTGAAAAGACAGAACATAACGGGCACACTGAACAGCCAAATGTGAAATGTCAGTAGGGAAATGTCAGAGCAGCTGACGGACGCCTCACCGCTCTCATCCAGCATCAAGTCGTCTTGGTAGCGGAACTTCTCCGGTCCACAGGCAACAAAAATGTCCTCATCACCAAAGAAGTCTTGCAGACACGACACCTGGAAGCAAAGACACACAGAGGGGTTTACTTATAGGAGTTTACTTATTATTTTCCTATTTATTTATCTAAGTCGCTGTCAGATCTGCCTTACACTTACTGTATATAGGTGCAGGGAACTGCTAAGACCATTAGCAACTGTCTGCTGTTAGGGGCTGAATGCGCTGTTCAAGAGCACATTAAGTCTTTTTTTGGAAAAAAAGGAAAGACTCCCACGAGAGCAATTTCCCATCTAGTTGGCAGATTTTTTTTAATGACGGATGTCTAGGTTCCTTACTTCTAGGCTACACAGACAGTGCACAGACTGTACACAGACATTCTGCAGTGTCTGACACTCACATACTCTGCCCTGCTCACGCTTACAAAATTAACTTTCAGTCCGTGCACTCAGGTGAAAAGGTACATTCACAGAGTCCCAGGAGAGGGATAGAGAACACCAGGGGGGGTCTGTTTATGCATGTGTTTTTCTTTGCATGCATGCTCATTGGTGTCTCTTAATATCTGTGCGCATGCCCAACGAGTCCCCGGGCTTCAGGGCTTCGTTGTTTCTGCACTTAATCGTCTATCAAGTGACTATAATGAGACCTTGCTGACTCACTAATTTGCTGATGCGCTGCAGCCTGTGCACTGGGCATCCACAGAAGCAGAGGGGGTCTGTTCCCTGAAAGCTAGCATCTCATAAATGGTAATGAGTAAATGAAGAAACTAGGACAAGAGAGAGATACAGTGAGAGGAAAAGGCTTCTGCTAAGTACATCAGGCCATCTCACTGTCATTCTCCATACTGTGAAGCTAATGCCAAATCCATAGTGACATGCTGACAGGCACGGATTAATCATTAAATAAGAAATGTTTGTTGGTAAGAGGGTCCTGCTCAGTTTTAATCATTCTGTCCAGAGATTCCTGATTAATACATTAATCACACGTGCTCACCTTAAGCTCCAACTACACACGTCCATTATGTCTGCACAAGACAGATGCTCTTCATTTTTTAAATCTGTACACTCACCTTTACTTCACCCAGAAGAAATCTCTTTATTATGACAAGTAGGCTAAGAAACACGCTGCTGCTTATTATCTTCTATTTGATTTAGTCTACAGCTAATTCTATATCTGATCCAAACTTTGCATGATTTACTAAAATTGCTCTAATGACACCCCACAGGCCAACCATCACATTTCAATCCCAAGCCATCAATGTTCCAAATGAAATTTCACAATAGGCAGAGAGGGATTTGCAGGGAAACAAGAGTTTATTCATTCACTATGACAAATCCCCCACTAAAAACCTATTAAGAGCTATTACAGATCGGGCTGAACGCATGTCTGGCACCGCCTGGAGTTAACATATAAAACGAAAGCTACAGTTATTGCATTTTTATAACAATTAACATACAAGAATCCATTTAGATTTCTATTACCCACTGATCAACACCCCAAATCAACAAAATAGGCAATAAACAGCGAAGAGGCTATTCTGTGCGTTTGTGTCTAGGTCATTCACTGTCCCTCAGAGTGTGGCATATTGCTATACTGTACACTGGGCAGCAAGACCTGCCCTGTCTCCCCTGTCCTAGGAAGAATTTTAATTCTGAGAGCTAGTGTAGCTTTGAAACCTGGAACTGCAGAGTCAAAATTTTCAAAATGTGCCTCTAAAAAGAGGTTGAGAGCAGCAGAGTGGTGAGTTTGGTTCTATGATGTTGTACTGATGAAATCCACAAACTAAACTAGAAAAATCAGACTTGCCATTTCTCCCATGATTGACAGGGGTTTAAACATGATCTAGTTTACTTGCTATTTTTCTTTATATCTTTATATTCTAGCTTTTCTTTCTACTGCGATGACTGCTTGTCACTAAAACAGTTACATAGATTTATTGGCAGGGTGTTTGGATGATGTGTTCTGGGGGAAGACAACACATAAAGACCTCTGATTATCTTCAAACTATTGCCACATGAATTTTAATGCGGAAAATAAACACATCTTAACATCTGAATTGCTCAATGTACAAGCTGAAAGCTTTCGCTCTTGTCCCGTTGTCTACAGATACTTCTTCAGCATAAACCCACAGATTAAGGCACAGAGGCTGCATGAACATCAACCAACAAGTCTGTGCATTCATCAGTATTGTACTGACTGGTAGGTGTATTGCACATTGAAAATGCTATTCCCACTTTTCTTTTTTCCCCCAAATATATCTGTTTTACTTGTTCACTGTCGCGAGCGTGGTAGATGAGTCAAACCAACTCCTAGCAATGACAAACACTAGGAGTGTACAGCCGCCTGATAGTGGATGGACAGTACGAAAATGATGGAGCGGGTTGAAGAAAAGATGTTGACATTTATGAAGAAATGTAGCTAATCCTTATTTTTTTAATTGTTTACATGCTTTTCTGATGTCTGGGATAGGGGTTCACTATTTTTTAAGTCTGTCTTAAAACCATCAGACTGGCTTGTCCATGTGTACACTGAAAGAGTTGTAATTGTTGTACAATTGGCCAGCTTAATTTACTGTGAAAGCAATACAACTGTTAGTCAGTCACTTATTGTGAATTTACAGTCAAATATTTTACAGTGCACCGATAAAGTCATAATATTGAAGGAAGGGAGGTCTAGCAGGTTAACTGGCTGTGTTTGCCTTGGGAGACCCTACCAGGGACATATAGCCCCCGACAACATAGCTCCTAGGATCAGTCGGGTACTCAAACCCCTCCACCACAATAAGGTGGCAGTTCAAGCAGGGGATATTTGCACATATGAATGAAAATAATGAGAGATGAGCATAAATTAAATTTGTATTTTATTATTACATTTTCATCAGTTATTTATCCATCAGTTCATTTATTATTGTGCTGCATTTATTACACAGTTATTTATCAGTCACTTAATTTACACTGATGATTTATTCCCTGTTCAGACACTTTAAAGTGGGAGAAAACCAGAGCACAGTAAAAACCCACAAAGGAAGGAGGAGGAGGAGACACCCCCCACCCCCAAATATTTTTTTCTGAGATGAATTACTTCCAGAAGGGCTTGCAGATGAACTTGCGCACATTGGAAAAGTGGGAGAAAACCGGAGCACCCGGAGTAAAAACCCACAACTCTAGGAGCAGGAGGAGGAGACACCCCCCAACCCCAAATATTTTTTTCTGATATGAATTACCTCCAGAAGGGCTTGCAGATGAACTTCAACACATTGTCAACGAACCTGCACAGTTTGCAGCTTCTCACTGGTCGGTTAAGTATGTGCTTTCTGAGAGTGGAGACGATGTAATCTTCAAATGATGTTTCATTCGCATACAATAAAAACACAATTTTTGCCTTGGTGAAATTTTTGCAGAGGTCCTTATAGACATTTTTGTCCAGGTGTTGGAATACTTTTGCATTACAGAAGCATTTTTGGCCATCCAGGAGAGGCCATAGTTTATCAAACAGTCGCTTAGCACGAATATCGGGCTGATCCATAGTGGTCGTGACACCTGCTTTTTCAAGAATCCTTGCAAGCAGCTTTTCAATAGCTCTACGCACATTTTTTCTGAATTGTATTGTTTTCTCAGAATAAGTGAATTCTGTCTGTTCATCTTCACTACTGACTGTTGAATCTACACTTAGCAAGGAACGCTGAGAAAGCGTTTCTCTCTCTATGTACGCCATCACTTGCTCCACGAGCTTGTCTGCCTGAGTGTGGAACCAGTCCTTCACCCTCATGAGGAATCGACACACTCTGCTCCTTATTTCATTATGCATGGCACTCTGTGATGGACTAATTGACATTCTGGTGTGTCCCTCAACTTCTGTGATGCTCTGGGATCTTAAGTCGTTAACATAATCATTAAGCACATCATGGAGCTGCTCTGTCATTGTCGGGGCATCAACACTGTAAGCAACCAAGGAATGGGGGAAACCTTCCCTTACTGCATTCTCAAACAGCGAGGCCACTTGATCCATTTGAGATTGCAGCACGCTGGTGTCCTTCAGGTGGCTAAAGAATTTTTTCTGTAGCTGTGCCATGACTTCATAAAATGATGCTTTGGCATACATCTCGACAAAGTTCATCTTACTTACTTCGCGGTCCTCATTGAGGGAATATGTGATGGTGAATTTCTGAACAGCAGCATCTATCTCTTTCATACTGTCCACTTTAACTATTACCTCAGCAGTGTCATCTGAGAGTATGTTAACTTGGAATTCCAACTGATCTGCTGTGATCTCATATTGACCTAATGACATTTCCTGGTGATTAGACAAATCATCTGTATCTTTCAGCGTTTCCACTTCAACAGTAGTATCAGCGGGGCCCTCGATAATGTTGATTTCCTGTGAGGACACAGAGACCAACTCCATTGCACTGTCATTCACAGATTTAGGTGCATGTCTGACCTCTTCTGTTTCCTGGCCTCCAAAGTCCAAATGGCGGTTAGAGAGATCATCTGTATCTTTCAACGTTTCCACTTCAACAGTAGTATCAGCGGGGCCCTCGATAATGTTGATTTCCTGGGAGGACACAGAGACCAACTCCATTGCACTGTCATTCACAGATTTAGGTACATGTCTGACCTCTTCTGAGCTTTCCTGGCTTCTGAAGTCTGAGATAGTTGTGGTCTGTCTTTCATCCTCCTCCAAACTTCCTCTAACCGTGCTCACCTCTGCAGAGACGAACACTCTTCTCTTTTTACATGGCCAACATTTACACATAGACTGCAGTTTTGTCTTTAACACTTGTAAGACATGACGAACAAAGGCCCAAATTTTGCCTGAGAGAGTGACACGTGGTAGTTTAATGGGCTCTGCTGGGTCTTTGCCAGAAGGGAGGGCCGATTCTACAACTTCTGTAACCTCCTGTGCAGTCAAGGTCAGCGGGGGATCTGGTTTGGCACTGTGTGCCTCTGTTTTAATGTAAAGAACCTCATCAATAACTTGAGGGAGTATGTTGCCCAGACTGGACAGCACTTGCTCGTTAGAGCCGCATTCGGTTATGCTCTGAAAAGCTTCATAGCAGCGT